TCTTCCGCGTGACCACCGCCTCGATGGTCCCGTGCGGCTCGCTGGTTGCGACGTACACGTCGTTCTCAAAGCGGCTGAGGACCGGTGTGCAGGGCAGGAAGTGCAGGTTTGGCATGTTGAGGAAGACCGACTCCACCTGCGGCACACTGCGGAAGGGGGGGGGGGGGGGGAGATGGTTGGGCGACACGAGGGGAGACAGGTATGGTGACAGGCGCCACAAGCTGGCCTGGGAATGGGTCGGGGGAGCGCGTCCTTTTCTTCAATGGGATGCTTGAGCCATGCACTGCCCTCCCAACCACGGATGGCAGTGGGTGCCAAGGCATTGAGCCCTCTGTACTCACCGACCTCCTCACCGCCCTTCCCACCAACCCCGCCCCCCTTCCCCCCCTCCACCAAGATTGTTATACCCACTTGCTCAGCGCATTCTGGGCCATGCGGTACAGCGTGTACTGCACGCTGGGGCTGAACACGCCCTTGGCGGGCGGGCCGTAGAAGGCGGCGGCGAACCCGGCCTTCACGCCCTCGAACGCGGGGTCGAAGCAGGGCGGGGGTGCGCTGTACTTCCAGGTGGCGGTCACCGAGGTGGCCACGATGCGGTCGGGGACGTCTGGCAGCGTGGTGAACTTGTCGTGCAGGAAGCCGGAGTAGCCGCTCTGCGTGGTCTTCAGCACCTTGAGCTCCTTCACCCCGCCCTGGATGGCAGCCTTGCCGGCCTTGTCGTAGGTCGCGTAGCCGGTGCGGATCTCCGTCCCGGTCATCATGTAGCCGTGGGAGTGGGGCTGCAGGAGGAGGGTGGCAGGAGGGGAGGATGGAACCATGTCGACATATTTGTGCCACCCGAGAATGCCGGCCTGAGCAAGGTCGTTTTACCCTCTTACACACTCGCCCACCCCATTTCCTAAACATCGAGCACCCTGGATCCCGGACTCACCACGCCGTCGACGCTGATGCGCTTCCAGGGCTCCATCTCCACAAAGACCTTGGCCTTGGAGACCAGGGGGTAGTTGTCTACAAAGTGCTTGGCAATGGCGAGGGCAAACTCCTCAGGGCCGCAGGGCTTCTTCATCTGTGGAGATGTGGTCCAGGGGCCGATCTTGGAGAGGGTCGACACGTATGCCCTCCTCACTGAGGGAGGCATGTAGTCCACGCACGGGGGTCCCAGGCGCAAATCATTGCATCCCTCACCAGTCATCACGATGCGGTTCACAAGCCACATCCACCAGTGGTCATACCCTGTCATCCAACTGCACCCCATGCAACCATACCTGCTTGGCCACATAGTACACTGTATTCTTCTGGGTGTCGGTGGCTGTCATGCCCTCGTTCGACTCGGTGAGGAAGGCGTGCTCCATGGCGCTCTCCAGGGTGGTGGCCACCTTGAATTCGGCAAAGGTGTGCACTGCAAGGGCAGGTGGCAAGGAGGCTCCTAGGGTCGGACAGGGGATTGGGGTTTGCACATGCCTGCAACCCATGTATTGATCCAGACTCATAACACTGTCCCCGGCAATCACTCACCGCTGCCCTCACGCCAAACGCGACCGACTCGCACGCGGCTCTTGCCGTGCTGGTGGAGGGCCAGGGTCGCCATGTCGGTCAAGGGGATCTGGGCGGGCGGGAGGGCGAAACAATCCGCAACAAATATTTCTATGATATGTATAGGGTTTGAGGGCCGGACATGCCTGCTTCGCGGACCTCACCATTGCCGGGCTTGCCCCACATGAAACCCTCGCACCCAGGACCCACCGAAGAAAGAAGGGTTGGGCAGATCCCTGGACGGGGTGTGGATCTGAAGATGGAGCTATACTTCCGCACTACTCACAAGGAAACATGCAGATGCAGACAAGATGGTCTGGTGATGACCTCACACGCGGACGGCGTCGGGAGCTGGGCAGAAAAAAGTACAGCGCACCAGTTCACGTGACCCTCGTTCCCCCGGAACCCTAGACCGGCTCACATCGGCTGTGCGTGAAGGCGACAAAATGCTGAAACTGGGCAGGGGCATGAGGTTTTGGATCTCCCAAGTCAAGTGTGGTAGAGGGGCCAGAACAAGGCGAGTCACAGGGCAGAGTTGTGCAAGGGGGCGAGGCTTAGCACCAAGCGTCGCCAACCCGCTGAATACGGAGGGTCCGCTCTGTCCCTCGTCAAGGAGCGGTGGTCAGCGGACTTGCGTTGAGTCAGGGCTTCTGGTCAAGGTGCCGAGAGGTCGGTCTGGTCGACCTCGGCGGAGCAAATGTCATCGGGGGAGCTGAAGGCCAGGGCGGGCTGGGTGGGTATGTCACCGGCGCCAGGCATGGGGCATGCCTCCAAACACATACTCCAGGGCTGCCTTCTCCTCGATAGATAGGCGGGACACTTCAGAGGAGGCGGCCAGCAGGGGGGCTGCACAGGACCACACCCCCACGGGACAGTGGGGGTGTGACCCTGGGGGGTTGCACTGCAGCAGCGGGGTATGGAGCGCGAGGCCGGTGGTCGCCGAAATGAATGGATGAGGAGATGAGGAAGGAACGTCTCCTCGACCCTCTGTCTGCGAATTGACCCGCCCACATCAGCAGCGCCACGGCATGCCATGCACCCTGCTGGCCTCTCCCAGCACCCACCTCTGGCGAGCTTGGTGGGGGGCTGTTGATCGTCCACCACCAGCCTGACGCGCCTGACCTCCTTCACCTCCAGCGCCAGGTCGCCGGGCTGGCCTCCCAGCTCCACCGGTGATATCTGGACGGCCGGGGCATCGTTGGGGGACTCCAGCGCCGGCGTGCCGGCTGCAGACGCCGCGCGGTCCTGACGGGGCAAGGGAATGGTCCAAGTCGGCGTGGGAACAGGACACTGGGTGGCGGAGGAGGAGGGTGCTCAGGAGTTTACTGATGGGGCACGGGAAACTGGGCAGACGCCGCTCTTGCCCGGAGGGCCCCCGAAACTTTGTTCCCCACGCCTCACCTCCCCGGAGGGGACAGGGGTGCTGCGTGAGGCGGGGCCGGCCCGGTGCTGGAGGGGAGCCGGCGCCCGCGCGGGCGCGGGCTCCAGGGCGGCGGCCGACCCCGGGCGAGGGGTGGCGTGCCGGGAGGGCCCCATCCCCAGGTCGTCGCCCAGGCCACCCACGCCACCAGGCATCCACAAATCAGACAGATCTGGCACTGCAAGGCACAAGGCGGGAACGCTCGGATGGTCTGCAAGGAGGGTGGGGCCCCATGCAGCCATGGGGCCAAGATCAATGCATGCCGTGCAGGCCAAGATCAATGCATGCCGTGCAGGCCAAGATCAATGCATGCCGTGCAGGCCAGGGGGGCCCACGCCCCGTCAGAAGAGCCAGCCCCCCACTTTGACTCTGCTCACCTCCCAGCGAGTAGTCGTCGACGTAGGGCAGGCCGCTGGGGACCGAGGAGGGGAACATGTCATCGAAGAGGGAGCCGCGCCCCAACCCCTCTTCCAGACTGGACTGTCCGGGCCTGTGCTGCAGGGAGCCCTGGCCATCTGGCTGGCGGGTGCTGGCCCCAGGCCCGTCGATGGACGGCAGGGCCTGCAGGGAGCCGCCCAGGAAGTCGTCCGGGCCCACGCCGATGGCGTCGAACATCCAGGAGTTCAGGGTGGAGGAGTTGGACAGCGGGCTTGGCCCCCTGACCCCCGGCTCCACGGCATTGGACGCGGAGCCGGGCATGGCTTGCCTCCTCCCTCCGTACAGCGCCGCATGGCTCCCGAGGGACCGAGACTGGGTTGTGGTGACGGTGGACATGCCCACACGCGTGAGGGGAAGGTGCGCAGCGGGGCAGGGTTTACACCCCGGAAAGCGCCATCCTGGAGGCCTCTAGGAGCGAGCTGCCGGCCTCAAAGAGGTAAATGACAGGGAATTGGTGGTAGGCCAGGCACGGGAAGGACTGAGCCGCAGGGAAGATGGCAATCTCTCGAAAACGAGCTGGGCGGGGGAAAACAGGCCACAGGTGATGGGGGCAAAATTCGGGGGTTGGTGGTCCTTCTAACCTCGGAATAGCAGCTTTGGTTGCTGCAGGAGTCTTAATACGAAGTCGCGTGAGAATCTGCATCACCGAAACCTCGTGCCCTGTAGTGGAAATCGATCGTACGGGACACATTAGGGGGCGCATCGCACACATTGCCTCCCGAATGTGCAACCTCAAGCTCTCATTCTCTGCGTTGGCTCCATTCTCGCGGCATGTGCTAAGTCTAGCTAGAATAAGAACTCCATCATGGCGGTGAGGAGGGTCCCGTGTCGACAGGAGTTGGGTGCAGGTGTGAGGCTGGTGCCATGCCCTCACCCTGTGCCTCCACCCGGTGCAGAGCGCCCTCCCACCCCGGAAGCCGGATCCCAACCGATTCAAGTCGGTGGTATCCATGCCTGAGGATGCCGTCAAGGACCCAGACTACCTGCGAGCCGTGCAAGACGTGAGGGGCTGAGCTCGAGGAAGGCCTTCCGGATCGATGCCTGCAGGATGAGGGTGCAGAGGTCTGAAATACCATCCCCACCCCTTCTCCACGCACCCTCGCAGCTGGAGGACCAGCAGAGCAACCGGGCGGGGTGGTTGTTTGCCAAGGGCGCCTTTGACAAGGGTGACCTGCTCCACCTACGCGACGAGGAGGAGCGGGGCCGGCACCTGGAGAAGGAGGTGCGCGATGCGGAGCAGCGTGAATTTGCACGGCAGCGGGCTGAACTGGAAAGGAGGGCGGAGAGCGGGCAGGGAGCGGGGGCCGCTCCGTCTGCCGGTGGAGCAGGGGTGGCGCCCAGCAAGCGACCCCCTGGAGCGGAGATCCCGAGCGGGAGGTGCGTCTTGCTGCGCAGCTGCGCCCTGCACGACATGCATGTGCAGCAAGGAGAGGGAGGGAGTCAGTCACTGGTGTCCTTGATGGACCCGTGAGCGTTTGAGTCTCTGCTGCTCGACAGTCTCTGAGCATGCCAGCTAGACTGAGTTGCAGCACGAGGTGGCATGCAGCACGCCCCAGCCATGCACACCCTCATCGAGATCTCAACCCTTACAGGCAAAAACGGATGGTACCCCTGGTCCGGATCAAGCCCTTGCGTCCGGAAGCAGCTGCTCCGGCAGTCGCGCACGAGAGCACTAGAGAAGCCCACGAGAGCGCGCAGGAGCCGTCAGCGGAGGCGCGCGGCGAGGCGGGATCCGAGGGGGAAGGCCTCGCGGGACTCCTGGGCCAGTACGGTAGCGACTCTGACGACGAGGGCGAGGCTGCCTCGTCCTGAATGGAGGTGGTGCACTGTAGCCCGCCCATCCGCTGGCGGTGTCTATGTCTTGGAATTAATATCGGCCCATGCGGGCGCGCAGCGTAGAGACCAGGGGTGGAAGCATGTTGCCTATTAATCAAACGTATGCAGCCGGGATCAGGAGGATGCCTTACATAAGCAATGCAACCAACATTTTGTCGCAATCCGGGATAGTGTCAGCAGTCTGGGAAGAGAGTACACAACGATGACAACAGCGGCAACCCCTCTGGGTGCATGCCTGCTGTGCCTGGACGCAGACAGCGTAGCTGGGTCCCAAGCGACACCCTGGAGGGTTATGTGTGAGAGGGCACCCATGGCAGCGTGCAGGGCACTGTCCGTTGGGGATGTCCTTGCGCTTTTCCGGCTGCACAGCGCAGGCGGCGCCTGTCGACCCGCGGACTGAGAGTCCCAGAGGAGCCCCTTTCCAACAACAAACTTCTCGCTCCCGGCACCCCCACTCAGCTGGCGAGGTGCCCCGCCGCCCGCTCCCAGATTTGGGTGATGGAGAACTGGTCGCCCATGAGGCGCAGCGGGTCGCAGCCGGCGAGGATGTAGAAGCGGCAGGCGCGGGGGAGGTGCAGGCGCGCGGCCACCAGCGCCGCCTCCAGGCCTGCGGGCGAGGCGGCCGCCACGCTGGCAATGGCCATGCCGCGCGGCGTGGTGGCCCCCGCCAGCACCGCCACCGGCTTGCCGTCGGGGCCCGGCAGCGCCCAGACCCGGCGCTCACTCAGCGCGGCCACCATGGTAGAGTGGGTGAGGGGGAAGAGCGTGCGCTCGCCGGGCAGGAAGTCCCTGAGGTGGGCGGGGGCGGGGGAGCACGCGTCCAGGGCGGCGCACGCCTCCTCCAGCGTGGCACACACCTGCCGGGGTTTATTACGGGGAGGTACAGGGGGGGTGGGGTGGGAGGCGGGGAAGAGAGGGAAAGGGAGGCGAGACGCAGACGAATAGAACAAGGCAGGGGCATCTATGTCGGTGGGCACGGACACCGGCACCTCGCACCACCCCTTGCCTTGGCGGCGTGTGCAATGCTGTGGGCCTCCTGCTCCTGGGGCGGGTGCAGGACTAATAGATCCACCGACAGCCCCTGGGTGATGGAGAGGTGCAGCGCGCTGGAGGTCTCCCAGCTGCGGAGCGGGGAGGAGAGGAGGGAGAGGTTTGGAAGGGTCTGAGGAGAGGAATTTGACGGACAGACTTGAGGCTCACTGAACCAGTCCACATCGCGATTCTGTCTTCTCTTCCAAGATCCCAGCGCGGAAGATCACAAACAAATGTAAGTGGCCAACAAACACTCCCACCGCCCACCCGCCATGCAGGACCCAACAAACCCTGGCCCCCCCCAACGCCTACCTTGGCCAGGCTAGGACGTCGGTGACGTGGTGGAATCCCAGCCCAGAAAACAGGGCCTGGGAGCCGGGGTTGAGGCTGGGCAGCGCGGCTCGGACGGTGCGGCACCCCGCCTCACTCATCACGGAGGCGATCAAGCGGTGCGCGTATCGTTGGCGCCGGAACTCCTCGTTGGTGAACACGGCGTGGATCCACAGGGCATCGTCCACGGTGGAGGTCACCACTGCGCAGGTGGGGGAGGGGGGGTGGGGAAAGAGCGTCGGGGCCCTGCCATGGGGAAGAGCGAGGAGTCACCATGGGGGGCACCCGGCAACTAGGCATTTGCCAAGCCCGCGCAGCAGGACAAGTTCCCACAACAGAGCCCTCCAGACGCACAGCTCGCTCACCCAAGGCCTGGATCTGGCCCTTCTCATTCACGCAGGCCTTCATGACCGCCTCTCCATCCTGGCAGGCAGCCACCAGGCTCCTCACCCAGGCGGGGACGCCATCTGCAGGTGCGATTCATGCATGAAGCGACAGACAAAGAGGAGGGCTAATCGGCGTGCATGCGACCCCTTCTCACCTGATTCCTGTGTAAGCTCGATCTCGAGAACCTCATTGCTATCGGAAGTGAAGGACGGGGAGGGCTCGAGGGTCCGGGCGGCCGGCAACGGCTCCGCTATCGCTGTTTCCATTCTTACGATGGTGCTTGTAATCCTCAAGAGCCGCTTGAACGATCTGATTGGCTCCCACTCCAGGGAAGTACAGGTCGCGCCCGTTAGTAACTATCAGCGCGCTGTAAATAGTAGATCTCATGTTTTTAAGCCCACGTGGGGGGGTGGACGATGGGAGCGCACCAATTGAAGGGACGCATTGATTGCGATACGCCACTCCATTCATCTGTGCCGCAGCAAAGCTGGATGCAAGCATTGGAAAACTCCCTGTATCGCGTCCGAACCTCCCATGAATCATGCCGTGGGGCCCAGGGCCTCCGTAGACATTCCATGCCACAGAGCTGCATCTGCGATGCCACCGTCATACGCATGTCTCGGGAAGCGTAGCCGGGCCAGGAACCTCAGCACTTGCGGTGCGCGAGCGACCGATGAATGCGCATGCGCGTGGTCTGGGCGCATCGCTTGCATGCACACATGCTGGCTCATGGTGGTGGGGTGCTGTGCGTGTTGGACCCCTCCCGCTCATATGCGCAGTATCAGCCCCTACCATGGAGGACCCCCCCCAAACCTCACCTCCAACCCTTTACCCGTCCTCCTTCCTCCAGGTGCCACCCGGCCTAAAAAGGGCCTGAGTATCCTGGAGTGGACGGGCGGCGTGATCCCACAGGGCGTGCTGGTGAGCGGGGTGAAGGCCGCATGGAAGGCGGCCTGGCTCACCTTCATGCGCGAGCTGGCGCCCCAGGACGCCGAGGGGGCCTACGTCCGCCCCACCTACTCGTTCGAGGGCGTGCTAGGATCCCCGGACTTCCCGCTGGAGACCGGAAGGTATCGCCTGTACCTCGGCAACCCCTGCCCCTGGTGCCACAGGGTGGGCCTGGCCCTTGCAGCGCGCGGCCTCGGCGACCACGTCGAGGTGGTGCACCTGCTGGACGACGCGGAGCGTGCATCTCGTGGCGGCTGGGTCTTGAGGGCCCCGGACCCAGTGTCTGGAGCGCGGGACCTGAGGTGAGCGCCTGTGCTGGACTGCGTGCTCCCTGCGCAATGCGAGCCCAGGGCAGTCCCGGCAGCTGGGACGCTGCCTGGCACCTTGGCTCCTGCTCCCTCAACCGCCTCTCCCTCGCTGTGCAGGGGCGTGTACGATAGCCTGAGCCCCGGGTACCGGGGACGGTGCACGGCGCCCCTCCTCGTCGACCTCGCCGCCCGTCGCATCGTGTGCAACGAATCCTCGCTCATCGTGCGCAGCCTGAACGCGTTGCGCCTGCCGGGGGACTCAGGCGTGGACCTGGCGCCCCAGCACCTCCTGCCTGAGATCGAGCGCTGGAACGACAGGTCTGAGGTGAACACTGTGCGGCGGAGAGAATGGGAGAGGGGCTCGCCTGACTCCAATGGCGAGGGGTTTCCAGTGTCCTGCACTGGGTGTGGCTGCCTGCAACAGACCACTGTGTGTAGTTCTGGAGGGCAGCGCCCTCAGGGCTTGGTTGACATAGGAAGTCAGTTCGGCTGCGCCTCTTGCCACCCAACACCCCCTGAATGACCCCCCCAGGATCCAGGCGGACATCAACAACGGGGTGTATCGCTGCGGCTTCGCGACCACCCAGGCGGCCTATGAGGCCGCGGAGTTCTCGCTGCACCAAGCCCTGGAAACGGTGGAGTCGGCGCTGGCCGCCTCCCCCTTCCTCTGCGGGGCCGCCGCCACCGAGGCGGACCTGCGCCTCCTTCCCACCGTGCAGCGCTTCGACGCGGTCTACGCCACGCTGTTCCGGTGCGGGCGCAGGAGGATTGCGCACGACTACCCTGCCGTCGACGCGTGGAAGGCACGCCTGCTTGCTGCGCATGTGCCGGGCCAAGCCTTGCAGCTGCAGGTGGGTATCTTTGTGTGTTTGAGAGAGTGTGTGTGTCCTTGAATGGGGAGAGGGAACACGGGAAGGTGTGTGTGAGGAGTGAGGCAGATCTGTGGGCTGATCTGACACCACCCAGAACCAACGGGGTGGTAGTGCTCCAGGTCAGGATGGGCTGAGCATAGAGTGTGCTGCCACCCACCGATGCCTCGGATGGCTGCTTTGGCCGCCAGGGACCCTCCCCATACAAACCTGTCCACACCAAACACAGGACTGCTATGACCAGGCGGACGCTGCGCGCAGCTACTACACCCAGCTCTTCCCCCTCAACCCGAGCGGGATCGTGCCCGTCCTGGAGGACCCAGGGAAGAGTTTGGAGCGCCAAGGAGCAGAGGAGCGGCCAGCGCCTGTGCCCATCACATCCATCTTCCAGGTGCACCCCCAGAAGGCCTTGGCTGCGTGATGAGCCGCGCTGTATCATAACCATGGAGACGACATGTGGCGCTCCCAGAGAGACCGCTGTGTAGGAGCGCCTGCGTTGGCCGCCCTGCTGCACACCTTCCTGCATAGGCTGCACCCTGCCATCACAGCTGCACAACAATGCTACCACAGTGTACAACAGTCTCTCGCAGAGGGAATATATGTGATGACGCCGGGGCCGGGTCTGTGCATCGAGGTCGGGCTTGCCAGGGGCTGCATGCATCATGTGCTTTCCTCGCTGCGTGCGCTGAGCACGACGCGCGAGGATCGCAGGGTCTCCGCCGCCTGCTCCCTTGAGGTGGCTCCCGCATGCTTGCTGGACAGCTGGAAGGATCGGATGCGGGCCGCTATGGCCGCAAAGCGTGGCCGTTTGGCGGGGTCGGGGGTCCGGCAGGCCTGCACGAGGGCGAGGAGGGCCTTCTGCGTGCTCAGCGCCACCTCCATGTCTGCAGTGCTTGGGGATTGGTGTTTGGGCGGACGTAAGCCGGCTGCTCGTGTGAGCGACATCAAGGAACGGCAACAGCGACTCGCTCCCTGTGAGGGACCTATGGAAGGGCACCGGCTTCAGAGCATGCATGGGCCCCTCTTCATTGCTGCGCGGAGGAGTTCAAGGTGGGGCAGCGTGCACTTTGCCTCTCCGGTCACCAGCCCCCCCTCGCCCACCTGAAAAGCCAATGTCGAGGTGCTGCATCAACCCACTGAGCATCAGGGCGTACGCCCGGACCTCCTGCAGCTCGTAGTGCGAGTCTTGGCGGCGATCGTACCGGAACGACGCTCCTGCGTGGGTGCAGGTGGTCGGCTGGGTGTGACTGCGTCCAGGACAGCCTGAGCGAGGCCCTGGACAGGGATGCGCTGCGATGCCCGGGCTGGGCCTGAGGTGGATCCTCCAGGGATGCCTTGCGTGGAGGGGAACCTTCAGTGCACATGCAGCCCTCCGTTACTGCGATTTCAAACCACGATCCTTCAACATTTCCCCCCCCAAGGGCCCCGCACCGTAGTCGCAGAGGACGGCCTTGCCGCACGGCCCCGCCAGAACGTTGTGGGCATACACGTCGCCGTGTGCAATACCCCTGGCGTGGAGGTATGCGAGGGCAACTGCCACAGAGTGGGCGATGCGCAGCAGTACAGCCAAAGTGTACCGTGTGCCCGGCGCCCAGGTGCAGCGCAGCAGGCTCTGCGGATGGTGGGGAGGGCGGGCAGGTCGGAGGCGCAGAGCAATCCCAGGGCTGCAGAGGCCAGCGTCGGAGCACGGATGATTGGAAAAGCAGGAGACAGGCCGCCGAACCCTTCGACACTGATTCCGCACTCATGTCTTCACAGCACCTTGTGGTCGGGCTTGGCTGCCAGGGGCTGGCCCTCCACCAGCTCCAGCACCAGTCCCCAGGGCTCGGCGGTCCTGGCCAGCACCCTGACCAGGCAGGGGTCTGCCAGGGCGCAGGCCACGCTCTCCTCGTCCGCGGCGCGGCCGTCGGGGGACACCTCCCCCACGAACAGCTTGAGCGCCACCTCGCGCGCCCCCCACGTCGCGCGGAAGACCTCGCCGCTGGCGCCGCAGCCCAGCCTCTGGCCCAGGGTGAGGTCGGTGAAGGGGATGGTGGGCGGCAGGCCCCGGCCGGCTGGGGCCGGTTCAGGGGCCAGTGGGTTGCCGGCGAGGGAGAGCCAGCTGAGGGAAGGCAGGCTGGCCAGGGCGGGGGGCAGGTGCGTGAGCCTGCAGCAGGCGACGCGGAGGAGCTCCAGCCTGGTCAGGCGCGCGAGCTCCGGGGGCAAGGTGGTCAGCTCGTTGAAGGAGGCCTGCAGCTTCACCAGGGACTCCAGCCCGCCGATGGAGGGCGGCAGGGCCGTCAGCGCGTTGTCGGTCAGGAACAGCTCCACCAGGGCGCGCAGGCGGCCGATGGAGGGGGGCAGGCAGGTCAGGCGGTTGCCCTTGAGACCCAGGCGCCGGAGTCGGGGCAGGTCGCCGACGTCCTCCGGCAGCTCATGCAGGCAGTTGCCCGCCAGGTTCAGGACCTCCAGGCCGGGGAAGCCGGGCAGGAAGCCGGAGGCGATGTACTCCAGGCCGTTGTCGCCCAGGTCCAGGAAGCGGAGGGAGTGCAGGGGCCGGAGGGTGGCCAGGTCATTGGCGGTCAGCCCGCAGCCAGCCAGGCGCGCCTCCTCCACAGAGCCAGGGTCGATGGCCCCGGCTCTGAGGTCGTCAAGATCTGCACGACTGTTCAAAGATGCTCTGGGACTCGCAGGGCTGGGGGCTGGGGGTGGAAGGACTGTGCAGGGCCGGGGCGCAGGCCTGCGGCGGAACAGGACCGCGCCTCCGACCAGGGCGGCAGCAGCCACAGCTGTCCCGGCGAGCAAGCCTACCGTCTGACGCGAGGGTGTTGGGAGATTCCATGTATCTAAAAGCATTGAAGATTCTTACTCCACCCGGCTGGGCGTGCGTTGCGCGGTCGAGGTCGCCTTGTGCGAGATTAAGGGTAGTGCGCGGGGGTGGTCGCTAGAGGCCGGACAGAGCTCGGCTTCGAAGCAGGGGCCTGCACATACCGTACAAGACGTCCCAGAATGCAGCTGCCAGACTCCTTTCCGAGATAACCGCCAGGCGATCGCGCTCCTCGTTTGGCTGTGGCTTGCTTTCGAAAAGCTCTGGCGATGAACGGATCGCGCGCTCTCGACAGCTTTATTGAATCCGGACATCAGGGTTAAGGAAAGGGATGAGACCCATGGAAGCAGCGTGCTTTGCTACGATCATTGATTATGAAGAAAGAGCACTCTGGTCACAAGAGAATGCATGGATCCCGGCACCGCCTCAATGCAGCGAAGCGATGCGCGGCAGGTCATGCTCCCCCTCTCCCGTCCCCTCCTTGGCCTGGAAGCGAGCGTACGCCTCCTCGAACAGCTGGTGGCAGGGCACCCGCGCCTTCAGCTTGATGCAGGCCAGGAAGGCGCCGCTGAGCTTGCGGTGCAAGGAGTAGCTGTCGTCCGGCGGCGGTGTCAGCCGGTGCCGCAGCATCACCGCCCCCAGCTCCGTCACGCGCTTGGTCACCGTCGAGTGCGTGGCAAAGTCGTACAGCCCCGGGGTGCCAAAGGGGATGCCCACCACCGAGCCCGCCTCCACGTGCGCATCCAGCATGACTTGCTCCTCCTCGCCTGCATTGGTGGGAGCTTGGAGAAAAGGTGGGATTTGAGGAGTCGGGATGGGCAAGCATCAATGAGACATGCGTAATTCAGCTGCCCATACACATTGTATACAAACTGCCTCCCCCGTTTCCCCTTCGCACAGCCTGCGCACCCGTCAGGAAGCCCATGTTGATGGAGTGGCGGATGATGGCCTCCCGGTCCCTGCGTGCGCAGGCCGCCACCATGTGCAGGTACTCCCGCACGAAGGTGATGGGGAAGTCCCGGGACGCGCCAAAGTCCACCAGGTTGATGCGTCCCGTGGCCTCGTCGTACAGAAAGTTGCCCCAGTTGGGGTCGGTCTGCATGAAGCGCCAGTCGAACAGCTCGCGCAGCGTCAGCGTCAGCAGGCTGGTCGCCACGCGGTCGCGTGCCTCCTGCCCCAGCTCCGCCACGCGGTCGATGTGCACGCCCTCCACCCAGACGCTGGTCAGCACCCCGCGCGAGCTCAGGTCGGGGACGATGGGGGGGACGAAGAAGAGGGGGGCCAGCTCGGGGTCAGCCGCCACCAGCGCCGCATAGCGCGCCTGCGAGGCCGCCTCATACTCGTAGTCACACTCCAGCGCCAGCTCCTTCTTGGCCACCTAACGTGACGTGGTGAGGAATGAGAGGAGGTGTTTTGAGGGTCTGGCATGGGGTGGCAGACTGTGGTTCTGCGGAAGGTGAAGGGGGATTCCGGTGCATGCGGGCCTTGCGCAGAAGCTTGGGCTTACAGAACGAGCACCTGGCTGCTTGAACTTTTGGGTGCATGAGATTCGGTGATCGCCACACTCCTTGACCCGCATGGCCCGCACCCTTGCAGTATGCCATCCCTCTCAGTAACAACAATCACTGAGGCTGAGGAGTGGGTAACCATGCAACCTCCAACCATTCAGGGGTTTTGGCCCCACCTCACCCCTCCCCCTTTCCTCTCATAGCATTCAATCCCCCCCTTCACCTTGGTCAGGTTATTGACGAATAGGCTCTTGGGCAGGATGTTGGTCAGGCGCACCACGCGCAGCAGGTTGTCCACGTCGCTCTCGATGGACTGCGCCACGCCCGGGTACTGCACCTTGATGGCCACCGCGCGGCCGTCGTGCAGGGTGCCGCGGTGCACCTGCCCGATGGAGGCGGCGGCCACGGGGGCGGGGTCGAAGGCGGCCAGGCGCGCGCGCCAGCTGGGCCCCAGCTCCGCTGCCAGCGCGGCATCCAGCTGGCGGCGAGGCATGACGTCGGCGCCGGCGCGCACGCGCTCCAGCGCGGCCTGGAAGCCGGGCGGCAGCAGGTCCTCGTCCTGGATGCTCAGCATCTGGCCCAGCTTCAGGGCCGCGCCGCGCATGCGGCACAGCGCCTCCGCCAGCCGCGCCGCGCCGGCGTCCGCAGCGCCCGGGGTCGCGGCGGGGCGGCCCCACAGCGCGCCGCTCACCGTGTCCACCGCCGCGCCGTAGGCCAGGGACACGCCCAGCCCGGCGAAGCCCGCGGCGCGGCCTAGCGCCGAAGAAGGCACGGCGCGCTCACGGGGCGCAAACACGCGCGCCGAGGCGCTGAGCCGCGGCGGCGAGGGTGGGGAGGATGGGGGGGGAGGCGGGGGTGGCGGTGGGGATGGGCGGGGCGGTGGCGGCGGCAGATGGGAAGTCGGCTTGAGACCATGCGACGTTGGCGGAGAGGGAGGCGGCGGGTGGTTGGGGAGGGATCTCAGGAGGGGGGGCCATTTCCTCAGGCGCGACGGTCGGGGGGTCGCGGGGAGGCGGAAGGGGCGGGCTCTGCATCATCTCCCGCGGGTCCTGGACCCCCGTCCCTCCAAGAAAGGAGGGGTCTTGTACTGCTCTGAAACCTGGCCCGCCCTCACACACAGCGCTCGGCTGGGGGATGGGCGCCGGTACGCCCTGCGCTGTCGCGACGGCGCTGTCGAAAGGGGTCTGCGGTTTGAGCCCCAGGGTCGCTGCCTCCACAACTGGAGGCGTGGGTGCGCTTTGGGGGAAGGCGCTGCAGAAAAGTGGCTGGACATGGGTTGCATGGCCGGGGGGTGGTCTGCCTCCAGCGCTCCCATGATCTGAGGGGTGGGGGCAGGTACGCCCTGATATGAGTGCATTGCACTGAGGTAGACACGAATACAATGCGCTATGGTGAATTGCAGGCATCTCACCATTGTCTGTGCTCGTGGACGTTGCGCTGGAGTTCAGGCTTGAGGGGAGAAGGCCACGCAGCAAAGAGCTGCGTGGTGGAGTGGGAGCAAGGGAGGTCACCGTGCATGCCCTGGATCTTTACATGCACTCACAAGGCATGCCCGCCCAGCTGCTCACTTGGACTCGGCGATGGACCGTGCAATCAGGCCGGCACCCTGCGCGACCCGAAACAGGTCCTCCACCACCCGTTTGCCTGACATGATCGAGGTACGACAAGGGACTTGACGTTTTTGTTATTGTCGATTCATTGTTTAATTTTGTTATTGTATCGGCCGAGCGCAGCTTCCGTCGACCTGAGTGTGTCTCTGGGCACCCCGTAATTGGTCATACTTACGTAACGGATGTCAACAGCATTCATGCGCCCTCGCCTCGGGAGAGAAAGGCGAGGCCAGCCCGGTGTCGAGTCAATGCAGCACTGTCATGCGGAGCAATGGTGTCAGGTGGAGCTGGGGGTCCGTGTGGCAATGGGAACGTGCAGATCCCCTTGCGCTGTCACAGCACAAGTTCCTGGCCGGCCCCGCCAGCCCATGCGGCGCCCTTTGCCACACGGGGGAGCGCCACCTCGTTGGCTCGCCCGCTGGGGCCCAGAGGCGATCGCACGGCCCTCGAGCCACCTGATAAGAGATGTGAGGTGGTGGGAGGTTGATGCCCGCGGGCAGGGTGGCGCCGCCTGTGTGGGGATCTTGGTGTCTGGCATGTCGCCCCCGCAGCACCATGCTGGCCCCTCCCCAGACTGAGCCCTCCTATCCAGACTCCACCCCCCCCCACAGAAGTTCTCGCACCGGGCGCACCACAGAGAGCCAGCAGGCGCTGTGCGCCGGCCTGCACCCGGCCCGAATACTGGCCGCCCAGGGCTTGCTCTGCCTCGGCCACCTCCCTCGCCACCCGGTCCGGCTGCGTCGATCGGCCGACCACCGCGCACAGCGACCTCAGCGCCTCCTCGCTCTCGGCCTCCAGCGCGGCGCGCACCCGGCGGCCCAGCTCCCGCACGTCCCCGGGGAGCTGCTCGCCGCCCGCCGTCGTACCAAGCCCCGCCAGGCTCGCCAGCGCCTCCGCGACGGCAGGAACCCAGTGCGGCCCCGTCCCCGGGAGAGCCGCCCACGCGCTGCACGCAGCCGTCGCGGCCGGCAGTGCGACCCGGGTCTCCAGGGCCAGGCGCAGCAGGTCGTCCAGCACGGGGCCCAGGACTGCCAGGTCAGACACCGCAGCGTCCTCGACCCCGGCCGCCATCAGCGCCAGACCGGCGCCGACCGGGGCGAGCAGCGCGGCGACGGCGGCCCCGTCGCCGCCCCCGCCGCGCCGCGCCTCGGCGAGCAGCGCGCTCGCCAGCCGCGCGAGCGTGTCTGCCCGCAGAACCTCCGCGCAGCACCGCCGCGCGTCGCAGGCCAGCGCCAGCGCGGCCAGGGCCACCTCCCGCCAGGACGGGGCAGATGCGAGGCCTTCATCCACCGTCAGCGCTGCGCCGTCGGCCCGTCCACGCCCCCGTCGGCCCCGCTTCGTCCCTGGCGCGGCGGGACCGGGCTCGGTGGTACGGTCTTCCCCGACGCGCGCCGCGCCGGCCTGCAGGGCGGCGTCCAGCGCGCCGCGGGGGCCGGCGGTCGTCGTCCTGCCGTGCAGGCGGGCGTGCAGGTCCCAGCCCAGCGCGGTGGCCACGATCTCGGGGAGATGGTGCGCCCCGGCGCCTGCGCCGTCGCCAGCCAGGGCGGCCTCCAGGCCGCTCAGTGCGGCGGCCTGGAGGGCGGGGACCGGGTCGCCGGGCGCCTCCGCCGGGGGAAGGGTGCCGGGCAGCCACACACGCCCGTCCCGGCCCAGCAGGCCCAGCAGACTGTGCGTCGTGTGGGAGTGAGTGGTGGGACAGGGCTGCGGGTGTGTTGTCGTCGTGCATGCCGAGGAGTGCGTGGAAATAGAGGTTGCTCGGCAACGTCAAACTCCCCAGGAGGTGTTCGCCACCGAGCAATGCATCGTCCCACGGCCCAGCAGCGGCCCCCTGCAACTCACGAATCAAGCAAGTACCTGAGTGCCAGGGCGGGGGATCGCAATTGGGAGGGGCGGCTGGGGGGCAGGCCGGAGGCCGGGTGTAGCGTCCTGACGCAAGCTGCCACCAGGGCCGCCAGCTGGTGCTGGGGGGTGCACTCGACGCAGGTGCTCAGCAGCTCCAGCGGTGCATCAGGGCCTGCCTCCGCCACCTCGCGGGAGATCCTGGCAAGGTGTGTGGGGGGGAACGGGGTGAGCAGGCATGCAGGTGGGTACGTGGGCATTGGTGGGCGCCAGCATCACCGCGGCCTCGACCGACTCCAAGCCCAATTCCTAGGGCAGTCCAATGCACAGCACCCCCGCTTCGCAGCAGCAGCCCCTCACACGCACCATCCCCAGAGGTCAACGCCGGCCAGGGCGTCCTCGGGCCAGGCAGCGACCGCGCGCATCAGCGCCGCCCGCTCGGCGGCGGAGGCGCAGCGCGGGAGCAGCGCGCGCGCCCAGCCCACGTCGCCGGAGGTGGCCGTGGCCAGGAGCTGCGCCTGCCCCTCGCCGGGGTCGAGCAGCTCGGCCCGGAGTGCAGCACCGGCGCCCTGTGCCAGCGCGCACACGCCTGCCAGGATGGACGACCATCCCGCCCGCGTCTCGCTCGTGCTGGCGTCGGGTCGGTCAGACGGCTCTCCACCCTCAGCCTCCGCTCCCGGCTCGCCGTCACCGGCCCCGCGCTTGCCGCGCCGCCCCGCGCCAGCCTTCCTCCTGGGCTTGACGGCGGGCTTGGCCCTGGGCGCCGAGTCGGGGCCCGTCTCGCCCACGATCTGCACGCTGAGCAGGTGCTCCGTCAGCACAGCCAGCAGGGAGGCCAGGGTCCCTGCTCCCACGGCCGGGCCTGTCGGGGGGTGGGAGGCGTCGGGGTCGGAGGGGATGGGTTTCATCCGAGCCTGAATGCGCCTCGTAGCCACATGTGTAGAGCGTGCATTCCGCACTGCTCTCGACACTGCACGGCCCTTGTCCTGCCAAGATCCTCAGCCGGGGCACCACACCAGCCCCTGATGACCTGCCCCACCCAAGACCCCTGAGACCCCTCCCACTCATGCCCCTCCAAACGAAAGTCACGCACCCGAGGGCAGGGCCAGGACGGTCCCGTCCTGCGCCTTGGACTCCACGCCGCCGGCCAGGTGCAGGCACAGGCGACGCCCGGCCTCCGGCTGGCTGCGCAGGAGGGAGACCAGCAGGCCCGGCGCCGACTCCTCGTCGGGGAGGAAGGAGGGCAGCAGGAGCTGGTGCACGCGCTGGGACAGGGCGGGGGTGTCGCAGCCCAGCACGCCGATGAGGTCCTGGGGCGCCACCACGTCCAGCCAGCTCAGGCCGGACAGCCCACTGAACGGGGGGTGTTGTGGGGGACGGCGTGGATGGGTGATACGTGCGCTGCTAGAAAGCAAGAACTGCGCAGGAGCATGCGTCGCCATCGTGGCTCACGGTGGTTGAGGCTCCAACACGTGGGCAGCACGACGACTCCTTGTGAGCAGATCCAGTTCTCCTTCGCACAAACAGATACCCCTGTGTCCCTTCTGTGTTGGCAGTCACGTCGGGCGGCGAGCGTACCCCGCCACGAGTCTGCCACGGACCCACCTACCCACCACACCCACCCGAGGCTCAGCAATAAGTCGGCAAACCCAGCGCGCACGCGCGGCGAGGCGTCAAAGAGCTGGGGCCTCAGCCGGGGCAGCAGCTTCTTGAGCAGCGGCGCCGCCAACGGCAGCTCTGCCAGGCCCGCCAGCGCCTCTGCGGCCGCACACCGCGCCTCGATGCTGGCCGTGTCCAGCCCCAGGTCGCCTGCACACGCGGCGGTTTGAGCAATGAGCTGGTGAGATTGGGGTCAAGAGGAGAAGGAGGAATGGAAGGGATGGCGAAGGGTGAGGGAAACCGGCGGTGATGCCCTTGGTGGTGAGGTGGGACAAGTTCGAGTGGCTGGGGCAACTAGTTCCTCCCCTCAGAGATGACAAGATGCACGTCGAGGCTCCCTCTCAAGGCCCCCCCTCCCCCCCCCTCGTCCACTTCCCACTCACAGACGCGGGAGAGGAGGGAGGCAGTTAGGGCGGCAGGGACCAGCTCCCAGTAGGCGCCCAGGACCTGGGCGGTCGCGCGCGCAGCAGCGGCGCGCACGGCGGGCGCGTCGTCGCCCAGCGCGTCACGCAGGCGCCGAAACTGGTCGCCCAGACGCTCGTCGGCCGCGGCACCGTCCTCTGCGGGGTCACGCAGTGGGAACGCGTCGGCCAGGAGGCGGAGGGCGGCCACGCGGACGCGCGGGTTGGGCGCCGCCAGGCGGCGCAGCAGCAGCGGGCCGTAGGCCTCCAGCAGCGCGTCGTCGACCCCCGGCTCGTGCTTGCGGGAGTGCAGGCCACGCAGCACCCGGCGCAGATTGGCCCCCAAACCCGGGGACGAAGCCAGCAGCGCGGCCTCGGCCAGCGGCTGCAGGCAGTGCGCCACCACCGCGCCCAACTGCTCGCCCTCCGCGCCGGACACCGCGCGGAACAGGATCTCGCCGTACGCGTCCAGGACTGCATTCAGGGTTGGGTTTGTGGTGTGTCGGGGGGTGAGTGGGGGTGGAGAGGGGGTTCTCAGGGGAGCAGGGCAGCCATGCGGAGGGCTCCTGAACCGGTCCCTGAGCAGTTTGGAATGTGCGCTTTCCAGAGTCACACCGATCCTGGCACCCGAGCAGTGGCAGCCATCACTGTACAGGCATCCCACCCCCCACTGGCCCTCACCAGCCCAACCTCCCTCTGACTTGCCTGAGGCGCGCCCCGCCGGGACCTGGTTCTTGATGATGGCCGTCAGCTCCGCGACAAAGGCGGGTTGCAGGCGGAAGAGGTGAGCCAGGAAGCGGCGGCCCTCGCTGCAGCGCAGGAAGGCGGGGCAGAAGGTGGCCTTGAGCAGGAGGCGCTTAAGGTGGACGATGGACTCCTCGTCCTCGTAGTCCAGCAGGTCCAGGCCGTGCCGGATGGCGTGGCACCGCTTCACGGCCGCAGTGGTGCCTGGCAGGGGTGGAAGGGTTGGTGAAGGGCATGCACAGGGTGGCTTGACACTGAAAGAGGGGGGAAACAACACATGGTGGCAGGCATGAGCGATTCCCCACAGCACAGCGGTATGCCCTGAACCAGGGACCTGCCAAAGCGCGAGCTGGTCATATCGCCTGCAACAGTCGCCCAGTTCCAGACGCACCGGCCCCCACGGCTTCAGCGACGAGGTAGGCGATGGTGGATGGGACGAGCGCGTTCCTGCCGGGCGCGCCCGCCTGCCACCACTCCAGGCACAGCCGGGCCACGGCCTCCTGGATGACGGGGGAGTCGCAGAGGTACAGGAGGCAGTTGTCGTGCAGCAGCGCGGCCGTGGCGTGCAAGCCAGGGGGCGGGGATGCCTTGGTCTCCCCCAGCATCAGGCGGGCCAGGACAGCACTGGCGCCCAGGACAGACAGCGCGGAAGGGGGAAGGCCCGGCGACCCCGGCTCAGCCTCCGAGGCAGTGACCTCGGCTGTCTGGATCTCCAGGACGGCTGCACAGGCGGCCTCCGTCTGTGCCAGGGGAGGGTGGTTAAGGGGGCAGGCTTGATGGTAACATACCAACGCACCGGGACACCCTGGACTGACGTCCAGCATCGACCATATCGCTGGCCTGTGCAGCTAAGTTTCGAGCACGCTACGTGCCTTTTTATAGAGTGCATCGCAGAGAGCTGCCATCTCCTTGCGCTGGGCGACTTGGAGGCATTCTTGCACCTCCTGGCGGATGCTCTTGGGACCCTGCCGAGGGGAGGCATCAGGGAGTTTCAGTGAGCCGCTGTGCGCAAGTCAATGGCGTCGGTGGACACTGGAACCCTTCATATCGCACTGATATTCACCACCAGACTTGCATCGGCGAGTTGGAGGAATGTCGACTCGCTCTGCACCTCCGCGCCCTGCAGGTCCCGTAACAAGGAGCCCAGCCGGGCGTGAACGCCGGCAGACATCGCGTGCTGATCTTTTATCTGAGCGGAGAAGACATCTTCAATGTCAAGGGGGTCTGTCAGTGGCTCCCTGGTTGTGGGGCGTGCGACACAGCACGAAAGCTGTCGAGCTGAGATTCGAAGGTACCCACATCGACTGCAGTACCTCCCACCGAACAGTGTTTGACTCTCCCGGAGCAGCGATCGGCACAGACGTGATCGACCCGCGAGATGGAGGCTGCCATGAAGCTCTAGCAAGGAGGCTACATACCCAAACCCACTTTCAACCAGCACACTAGCTGCGATCCGATGCATGCGCCGGTGGAAAGTGGTTCACGAGTCTGACGGCTTTGGGCAAAAGTACTGGACACCCTCCGAACAGCGATGGAGGTACGAAGAAGGAGGAGGTGCCACTGGAGTAAATAGTTTCACCAAGTCTTGGATCCATTCAACTGTTCCTCCTTACACCACAGATCTCCCACCAGTACATTAAGCAGAGGAAGGATTTCGGCCGGCACCCCTCCTTCCGGAACGGCCCCATTCAGGTGAGCACCCACTTCGATGGCTGGACAAGATCACCACGACTGACATGAATACTGCGCCCCAATCACGATATGCAGAGGTGGGCTCCCCTCCCGACTACAGGTATTTGTGGACCAGCGACCAGACGAGGAGCTGGCCGCCCTCTGGGTTCCCGTGTCCCACGTGACGAGGGGCACCCAGTCGGGCCCCAGCATGTCGGAACACGAGGTGGGTCCTGATTCAATCGTATTCTAGGTGTGACACGCCAGACAATACAATATGTGGGGGTGTATCAGAAGATGTTCCTGCGCCAGGCAGCAAGTTCATGCTGGTCCCGACGCAGCACGGCAGACAAGGCTTTGTTCATGCCCATGCACGTGTGCAGGTGAACACCGTGGTCCTCCAGACAGTCAGCCAGGCAGTGGATGCGACCCTGGGGCGCTGGCCCAAGGACGTGGACCCCACAGACGCCCAGCAGGTCGCCAGGTTCCGCAAGAAGGTGACTGGGTTTGAAACCAGATCCTACGCACCATGTGGGAATGAGTGGGTACATGACGAGGAGAACAACAGCGCACGGCCTGTGTGTATGTCCTGCGCCCGAGGGTGGGACGCAGAGCACCCTGCAATTATTTTGGAATGTCTGCGCACCTTCATCCCATGGTGTTGGTATCCGCTGCTATGTCAGGGCAGGGTCGAGGGTATCCCCCAAGCCAGTATCCACATTCATATCTTTAATCAGATGGAGAAGGATGAGGATTACATACGGTGCACGGTACGCCTGGGAGCGGTGGTGGAGGAGCTGATCAAGGAGAACAACGCCCTCGACATCTACGAGGAGTACTTTGCAGGTGGTGGACGGGTGTTCAGCTGCAGATGAGGTGACAAGGCCTGGGATACTGGGTCTGACTACGTCTGCCCCCTTTCGGACCTACCTCGGCCTCGCCACCCAAACACCCCCAACCCAATTGTTCCCCACCTAAAAACCTTGCAGACGTCCCCCCCCTCGCCGAGCTGGACCCGCCCTCCATCGCCAGCCTGGCGACGCTGCTGCCGGAGGGCGCCGGGGAGCCGGTGGTGCGCCTGAGTTGGCGCCCCGACGCCGCGGCCTGCCTGGCGGTGGCCGGCGCCTCCCGCGTCAGCCTCTGGGACCTGGACGCCGGCCCGCCACGCGTGGCCGCCGCGCTGCTCCCGCCCTCCGCGCCGCTGACGGCGCTGGCGCACAGCCCACGCGACGGCGCCACGCTGTGCGCGGGCCAGGCCAACGGTCAGCTGCTGGTGTTCGACGCTCGGCGCGGGCCGGGCGCGGCGGCCGCCACGGCGCCGGGGCGCTCCCGCCTCGCGCACCTACTCTGGACGCAGAGCAAGACGGGGAGCGAGGTCATGGCCTGCACGGGCGAGGGCAGCGTGGAGTGGTGGGACGTGCGGGCCCTGGGCACCGCCCTGGAGACCCTGGTGGGAGGGGAAGCAAGGGGGGAGGGGGGGGGGGGGCATGTGTGACCTGGGGGAGGGGCTGAGACAGAGTAGTGTGGATGGTGGTTGTCGGGGGTTGGTTGCGAAGGGAGGGGGGAAGGGGCATCCAAGCATGCGGCGCGCAGTAAACCAAGCGGGAGACGTGCGGGCCACCACTCCCCTCCCCCCTCCCCTCCACCCCGTTGCAGCCTCTGCGTGACCCTGGGTTTTGGCGCCCGCCCTTCGGCCACGGTGCTGGAGTACAGCGCCGCTGCGGGGCCCACGCGCTTCATGGTGGGCACGGGGCAGGGCACCATCCTGGCGGGCAACCGGCGGGCCAAGAGCCAGGACGACAAGATCACGGCCTCCTTCGTGGGTGGGCGAGGCTCAAGGGGCTGATTGCCTGGGTAGGGGGGAGAGGCCATTGCGAGCTTTGGTGGGATTGTGGACCACTGGAGCTGCTGAACCAACTCGCCTTGATGCGTGCGCAGCTGTGAAGGGGGAGTGGTGCCAAGCATCCCCAGCCCCGTGCCTCCCTGCTTGATTCAGAGGCGCACATGCCCGAGCGAGGGGCCACCGTGCGCTCCCGTCCCCAGCCCTCCACTCTCCAGCGTCGACCTGTGGTCACCCTTACTTCCCCCTCCTCCGGAACACCCCCTCCCGATCAGGTCACCACGGCCACATCACCGCCCTCCAGCGCCACCCCGCCTTCCCCAAGTTCTTCCTCTCCTGCGGCGACTGGAGCGCGCGAGTGTGGAGTGAGGACGTGGGCCACGCCGTGATGGCCACGCCGTATGCGCCCGGGTACGTCACGGCGGGGGCCTGGAGCCCCACCCGCGCCGGCATGGCCCTCACCCTGGACGGAGGCGGCAGGCTCGCGGCCTGGGACTGGGTGCACCGCCAGGACGCGCCAGCCCTGGAGGTGGGTGGGTGGGAAGAAAGGAATGGGGTCAGGGAACGGTGGACAGCCTTGGCAGGGACTGTGGCAGGCTGCCTGCCTACATGCCTGCCTGATGATTTCTGGAGCGCATCCCTGAGGTCCAGGCTCTAGCAGGCATGCACATGCACGATTTCTGGGGCTGGAGGAGTTTCCAGCTCAGCATTGCGCCTCCAAGAGGGACGACTGCTGACCCTCACTGAAGTGGCTGCCCACTGCGCCCTCGTCAACAGGTGCCGGTGAGCAAGCACGGCCTCACTGCGCTAGCCTTCCCACCCGGCACGGGGCACCCCAGCCTTGTGGCGGTGGCGGCCGCCGACGGCTGCACCCACCTGCTCCAGCTCTGCGAGGGACTGGTCACGCAGGGCAGCGGCGAGAAGGCAGCCATGGGCGCGGTGCGTGGGGCAGATCCAATCTTCAGACGTGCATGCAGCTCTGGATGGTTGCCAGGCAGGCCACAGTGCTGAAGAATGCACCTGACTCCGGTCGAGGACGACTGCTCACAAGGACCCCCACCATCACACCTCCCACCACCCAACCTCGCCAGGTCCTGGACCGTGGCAACAACCGGGAGAAGCACCTCGAGAAGGCTGCACGAGATGCCAAGCTGAGGGGGAGGAGGGCTGTAGGGGAGGATGTGGGCGACCAGTCACTCCCTACAGCGGCAGGCAGCGACGACAGCCTTGCGGCCAGCGAGTTCCAAGAGGTGAGTCTTTGAGGCGGTTTGCTGGGCTGCGCTGCCCAGCAATCCTGCCAAGAAAACTTCCTGACTAACATCACAAGCGCGGCAGGGCCACAGCGCTCCCTGGCTCATTGTCTTGGGCCACAGACTCACGCGGCACACTCTCCTGCAGATGGAAGCTGAGTACCTCCGCCTGGTTGGTGGGGGCGGCGAGCAGAGTGCAGGAGTCCCAGAAGATCACAGTACTCCAGATTGACCAAGAGTTTCTCCCTCCAAGCTGTAAAGATTGCTTGAGGAATTGGATTGGTCGCACCACCATCCTGCCCACCCTCTGCACACATCTGAAACCTTGCTCTTGACTTTGCATAGGAACCTCTTCAGTTCAAATACCAAGAACACACGTGATCGGCGCGCTCCTCCGGCCACCCTCGCCCCTTCCCAGAGCCGGATCCCTGCAGCGAGGCATTGCAACTTACTCCAGGAGTGCATGTTGGCGTGAAACATTGCCGGCACCCTGCACGAATCCCATTGGTTGCATCGGGAATACTCACCGCGGCGACGGGGGGCCGGACCCCCTGTCCCAGCTGCTCTCGGCGCGAGTGGGATGCTTGGATGCTGAAGTGGGATCTTCTCATGCTCTGAAATCCAGGTGATGGGGGTAATGCGAGCGGGGCGTTGGTCTCGCCAAGGCTGGTCCTCTTGGCCTGAGATCACCGTCGTCAAGCCGGCCACCCCTCTTCCCGACGCAGCCAGGCCCAATGTCGAGTTACCCTCCCCCAGCCGTCTTCCAGCCGGCCAGGCAGTATGGTGGCGATGATTCCGCTGGGAGTGCAGGCCCCACCCTCTTCCAGCCCTTCGCTGGGGGCCAGCCCGGCTTGAGCCGCACGCACTCCAACGCCAGTGGCACCCAGCCCAGTCCCCGCCAGCCCCAGAACACATGGCTCGCCCCCCCCCCCAGCCTGACCAGTCCCCGAACAGCAGGATCCCCTGTGGACGACACACGTCATTTTGACGAGGAGTCTGCAGGCTTGGCAGGTGGGTGACGGGCAGGCGGACGATTGCTCCCGGGACTTTGCGCTGGGTTATCACTAGCGAGTGCGCTGCATACCGTGCTTGCCATAGGCAAGAGGGAGATGTGCCAGTCACAGTGCTGTTCTGCGAGGAGCCTCCCCTCCGCCAGCACACCCAGCACCCGCACTTTCCCCAACCCCTCAGGTGGCACCATGGGCGTGTACACCTCCGCCCCCTCCTTCCAGTTCAAGTCTGCCGACGAGCAGCAGCACCTGCGCGGCCAGCTGCCGAGCCTGCTGCCCTCCCCGCCCAAGCGCGCTGTGCCGGGCAGGCAGCCCGCGCCCTTCGGCGCGCCGCCCCCCGACCATGGGTCCCACCCTGGTAGCCCCTGGTCCGGGAATCCGGGCCAGGGCTGGGCGCCGCCGTCGCGGCACCAGGAGGATGAGCGCCAGGTGGGCGCGTGGGCGGCCCCCCTCTCGCCCTCCGCGGCAGGCGGGGAGGAGCACTGGGCGCCGCCGGGTGCGGCTCCACAGCAGTATGTAGGGGCGAACCACTGGCCCAGGGCAGGGCAGACGGCCGAGCCCTGGGGCTCGCCCGCGGCTCCCTCTGAGGGCTTGTTCGGAAAGGATGTCGTTCCGCAGCCCTACGACGTGGCTGGCGAGGGCGAGGAGGTGGTCGGCGCCGCCGAGGGCGAGTGGGGCGCGGCACCGCCCGGGTACAGCCCTGGCGGCTGGGCTGGGGCCGTGGGCGACACGCCGCCCAGCGCCTCGTCGGGGCCAGCGAGGGCAGCTGGCTTTGGCAGCTTTGCCGCCATGGACGGCGTGGAGGGCGAGGGGGCCCGACCGCCCTGGACGCCGGAGCTGCCGGGCACGGGCGAGACGCGCGACTCTGCGGCATGCCCTCCCCCGCCCGGGGTCCCCCTCCCCCCCCACCCACGAGCACGGAGTCCCCCATCCGCGCGCATTTTGCCCGGGGGCAAGGCGGCGCGGGCCCCTCCCTGCTGGGGCCCTCCGGCGCCTCCCGTATCCCCAGGCCGGCGGGGCAGGCAAAGGGGCCCGGCGAGTCCGAGGCCAGGGCGGTGGCTGCCACGGCGCCGGCCGCGGCCGCGTCACGAATCCCGCCGCCGCCCAGCGCCGGCTTCGCCCCGCCCCAGTGGGCTCCCCCCGACGCGCCGGCGGCCGCCCTGGTCCCTGGCAAACTGCAGCTGGCTCCACCGATGACTGGCGATGCGCCACAAGACGCCCCGTCCCCGGGACACGCCCCGCCTATGGGGGCGCCGCCCGGCCTCCTCCCTCCGCCGCCGGGCCCCCTGTCTGGCCTGCAGGGCGGGTCGCCGTCGCCGGGCTCATCCCTGGCCGCGCAGCCGGGGCCCATGCTCTTCGCGCCGCCTGCGCCCGCGGGGGCGGCGCCAGGCGCGCCCGAGCCGGGCCTGGGCGCGCGGGGATCCCAGGCGAGCGGCGGGCAGGGAGTAGGACGGGGGCCGACGGGAACCCCTGTGGCCAGACGTGGACGCACAGGTGGGGGTGGGGGGGTCGCAGTGTGGATGTGGGGGGCAACACATCGTGCTCGTGCAGGCAACTCTCGGTGGCGTTCCCCAGCCCGACAGCGATTCCTCTGCATCACCCTCTCTCGCCCTCAAATTTCAGGTGGGAGGGCGAGGCGCATCTTCACGCACCTGCTGATCCTCACGGCGGCCGCCCTGCTGGCGCCGGAGCTGGCGGTGACCTCGCTGTCGGCCGCCGCCGGCATCGCGCAGACCTCGGCACGCAGGCTCCGCCGCCTGGAGGCGCGTGACCTGCGCCCGCCCGCCGTGCTGCCGCTCGTGTCCGGCTGGCACCCGCGGGCAGCGGGCCGGGGCGGGGCAACCGGCCTGCTGGACGCCTGGGTGGGAGCCCTGGATGCCGCCCGGTCGGTCCTGAGCGAGGGTGCGGCCGGGCAGGCGACGCCGTCCCCGGCCTCGCGCGCGAAGGCCGCGGCGGCGTCCGCCACGCGGCGCGCCTCGACCGCTGCGGGGAGAGCGGGCGGCGCGGTGCTCGCAGCGCGGCCAGCACTGCAGCGCTGGGCGCTCGAGCGGCCGCGGGCCGCCGCGCGGCTCGTGGCGGGCTGCGTGCGCTGGGCGCGCTGCGTGCTGGAGGACAGAGAGCGGGCCTGCGGCCAGGAGGCCTTTGGCGCATACCTGCGGGGCGCAAAGGGCGCCGCGGAGCCGAGGAAACCCCGGAACGATGGCACTTTAGGAGCAGGTGAGCGTGTGCCGCCGAGCCAGAGCAGCGGGGCAACCGATGCTGCCGCCAAGCCGGAGAGGCCCGTGGGCACCGAGGCCGCCCGGGGGGCTGAGAGCAAGAGCGAGGCGCCGCCCAAGGCGGAGGCTGCAGTCGTCGAAGACCGACCAGCGTCAGGGGTGTCAGGTGACACTGGGGCCGGGTGCTGCTGTGATGGTGTTGGGCTCATGTCCCTGGTGAGAGGCCCCAGGAGAGATTATCGTCGTTGGTTTACCCAAGTCGGTCTAGTGCTCACGTGCTTGCACTCACCTGCCAACACCTCGCTCCACAGGCGGTGCTGCATCCTCGGAGGGCACGCAGCCCCTGCCTCACAAGGAGACGCCTGCCGAGCCTGAGACCGAGGTGGCCGGTCGTGCCCAGCCCAGCAAAGCAGATCCGCCCAGCAAGGCGGCTGCAGCAGCCGGTACAAAACCTCCCAGTGATGGGCCGAGCCTGGAGAAAATACCTGCTGCAACCCACGAGGCGCTTGCCAAACCCCCAGCCGCAGAGGCTTCTCCTGTCGTAGGCGCAGCCAACAAGAGTCTGCCAATTGCAGCCATGGAAGTCCCTTCCAAAGTGGACACGCCGGCCAAGGCTGTGCCTGCCCCGTCCAAGGAGAGTCTGTCGCTGGAGATCACCCCCAACGCCAGTTTAGCTGCTCCGAACGCGACAACTCCGCCTCCTACCACCGTCACCTCGAACGCCGGTGTGGCAGCTTCTAACAAGACTACGCTGCCCCCTGCGAGCAGCTTGAACACTACTGTACCCACGCCAGCCAAGGAGAGCCCAACGTCGGCTGTCACCTCCAGTGCTAGCGTGGCGGCGCAGCGCAATGACATGCTACCTCCCGTGGTCAGACTCAATGCCAGCGCGCCTGCCCCCGCCAAGGGGGACCCTGCGCCGAACGCCACACGCTCCGTGGAGCCGCTGGATCCAAGCACGGCGACGCGGCCGTCGACTGCCGACCCTGACGACAATGTGGCTTCCCCAGCCGAACAGGTCAACCCTATGGGTGTTGAGGAGGAGGAGGCTGTGGAGCAGGCCCCAGAGGCAGAGCGGGAGGAGGAGGGGGCAACTGGGCGGCAGCCTGCTGATGTGAGTGCAGTTGGGTCGGGCTCGGGAACCTCAACTGGTGCCGATGACCTCTGCGCGAAGGTCGAGACTGATGAGACGCATTGCTGTGATTTTGAGTGGAATGCCTGCCCACCTGTTCCCGCATCACTGTGAGACAGCAACGATGGACGGGCCATGGTTTCATATGCAATATGTCCACTCGCGTCTTGCCACCCTGTGCCTTAGGGAGAGGACACCGGGGACGTTGGTGCAGCTGCAGGTACAGATGCCCCCGAAGATGACAGTGAGGAGCCCCTGGCGAGCGCTGAGGAGGAGGACGCTCACCCTGCTGCAGCCAGCGGCGAGGATCTGGAGGTGGCCAAGGAGGCTGAGGAGGGAGACCCTGAAGATGCTGCGCTGGAGGACGGGGATCACTGCGAGGATGCTGGTGCGAAGACAGAGGAGGACACCCCCTCTGGCGACCCGTCACCGTCTGATGATCAGAACAATTCGGAGCACCCTGGGAGCGAGCCAGAGCAGGCTGAGTACGAGCAAGTAAAAGCTCTGGGTGGTGGCGAGGAGGGCGAGGAGACAGCGGTCGATAAGTTGCGCTCCTTCAAGGAGTGGCTGGGCACCCGCCTCACCTTACCGCCCCTGGACTGGACTGCAATGGCGCAGGCCTGGGCCGCGCCGCTGCTGGCGGGGCTCAGCCTGTTGGCCCTGCTGGTCGGCACGCTGCTGTACACCTCCGCCCTCACCCGCCGCCGGGTGCAGATGCGCGTCTCGGAGCTGGACTTCGCCGAGGCCCCGCTGACGGCCGGCCCCTCGCCAAGCGCATCACTACCAAGAAAGGACGCCGGCGAGGACTCACCCCAAGCCTCGGGCCTCGTGGCGGCGGCCTCGGCGTCCCTGTCCACGCTGCTGACGAGCATGCTGCGCGGAGAGGGAAAGGATGGCGCCGACGACGAGGTGGAGAGCAGCAGCAGGGGGCGGAGGAGCAGCGGCGTGCCACGTGAGTTTGGCGGGGGAGCATGCTTTCTGGCTGTTGAGGATCGAGGGACCTCCATCTCTCTGCATCTGGGATCATAGGGGCTGTGGTGGTGATGCTGGAGACTGAAGGAAAGGGTTTACATGTCAGGGTCATGGAGTTCCGTGGCTGGGAGCCAGATGGCGTCGCAGTGCCCAGCAGGCAAACATGTATGCAACACAGCACCAAGCCTGGACCGCACCTCTACCCACCCTCCACAGGCCCTCGACGAGGCGCGCACGCATCCGGCGCAGCAGCGGATGAGGGGCCTGGGGGCGCGGCCGCGCCCACCCCCTCACGCCGGCGGTCCACCCGCGCGGCGGTGCCGCAGGTGTGTTTGGTGGACGGGAGAGAGTCGGTTGGGAGAGGTTGCAGGGGTGCTAGAGTGGTTGTGCGGCGTGTTTCTGGCTGGGCGGCCCGGGCGCCAGCAAGATTCTGGGCCACCAGCCTGATTACCAGCTCCAAGGTGGAGAGGAATCATGTGAACACGGTTTCGCACTATTGACGGACATCGCGATCTCCATCTACATGCAGACCTCTGCCCTCAGCGACACGCCCTCTCGCAACACGCGGCACAGCCTGCGAAGCAGGTGGGTCTTGTGATTGGGCGGAGCTTGGGGATTCTATGCATGCCAATCTTGCACAAGTATCTTACTCAAATATGCCTCATACTTCCCCCACATCCAGGACTACTCTACTTGAAAGTGAAGACGAGGACGAGGAAGTCAGCGCTGGGCAGGGCAGGGCGGCTGCCTCCAAATCCGGCCCGCGTGCCGCCTCCCGCCTCAAGCGGGGCGCCGCGTGAGAGAGCTTGTGCTGCACCCTCTGGAATGCGGTACTGTGTGTAAACCTGGAGGCAGCCTGAGGTCGGCTCAGCAGGATGTGTTACAAAGGGCCACTGGTTTGTGAGCTCACCCACCCTGCCCTTCATCTCTAGCGGGGGCACTCCGGCCGGGGCATGGGAAAGGAGCGCGCACTACGTATGTGGATGACTGGCATGGAGGGGGCAGGGGTGCCTGGCGCCAGGCACTGCTGGGCACATGCCCCGACCCAGCGCTCAGAGGTGTCGGCTCACTCAACGGGCGATGGCGCGCCCGGCCGGAAGCGAGGTCCCGGAAGACCCCCACCGCGCTCACAGCAGCTGGATGAGGCCGGCCAGGGTCCCCGTGAACCCGGCGTTGTAGTCGATGGCCACCTCGTTGCCCTGGTAGTTGCTGCGCACGTCGGAGTAGTCAGTGTCGCTGCTGGCCGGGCCGCCCACCAGCCCGCCGTACAGCACCTGCGGGTTGGCGGCCGCGGAGTTGAACTGGTCCCAGCCGCAGGCGGCGGGCAGATTGGGGCAGGACGCGCCGCGGTGGTGGGCGCGGGTGGGCGGGGTGGTGCCATACCCCACCACGAAGCTCCGCCCGCTGTAGGGACGATGGGGGTTTGGGGGGAAGGGTGGGAGGAGACGAGCAAGGGGGCTGGAGGAGTCTGGATGCACGGCCATCCATCATGTGCCACCTCCCCCCCTCCTTTCTTCTCCCTTTCTTACCTGGACCCCAGCGCGTAGTCCAGCTGCCGCTTGGCGTAGGCCAGGTCGGCGGCGCGCGTCCCCGCATTGTACTTGGCGTGGATGGCGGTGACAAAGGCGGCGTTGAGGGCATGGCGCAGGTTCCCCCATCCGCCAAAGGGCGGGATGGAGAGGCCCTTGGGCGTGATGGTGACCCCGTTCTGGCCCTGCTGCCAGGTGGCCCGGAAGGTGGCCAGCTGGGTGTCGAGGTCCACGCCCGCCGAGTTGGCCACGCCCAGGGACTTGAGCAGCATGTCGGCGGCGGGGAAGACGCCGTCCCAGTTGACGTAGTAGTTGCGGGAGTACTGCGCGCGCTGGAGGTAGGTCTGCGCGGCGGTGAGGTAGCTGGGGTTCTTGGTGGCGCGGTACAGCCACCCCGCCGCAAAGGCCAGGTCGTCCAGGTAGGTGGTGCTGTGTGGGGGAAGGGGAATGGGAGGGGGAGGATGTGGGATCAGGAGGCTGACCTTGCAAACTGACCTGTTGAGATGGAATCCCAACTCCACCCCCCAGTGCTCAAGCAATGCGGCTGCATCAGGGTCTGGGAAGACCAAGGATTCCGTGAAAGGTAACCCTTGTTCCATTCTGCCCCACCTGGAGTAAACGTAGGTAACGGCGGTGTAGGACGAGGAATACAACCCCTCATTCCTGGCCCCAAAGTCGAAGAGGCGCTGGGCGTGGGAGAGGAGGGAAGCGGAGTAGGTGGCGTTGTCGCTGGCGAAGACCAGGGAGGCGGCCGCGAGCGCGGAGGCGGCGCTGGAGGCCAGGTCGGAGGCCGGCATGGCGCTGGTCCAGGTGAAGGCCGGGCGGGCGCCGGTCTGCTCCTCCGCCCGGCCCCAGAAGGCGTGGTCGATCCCGGGGTCGCCGATCTGGCCGATGTACTGGTCCTCCGCCACGTGGCAGGCCACCAGGTAGTCTGTGCCCCATTTCAGCGAGGCCTTGGCGCGCGCGGTCAAGCCGGCCGCGTCGTAGCCAGCGGGGAACTCCAGCAGGCCCCAGCCCAGGAAGGCCAGGGAGGTGCCCAGTGGGAAGCTGTGGGGGGAATGGAGTGACCAATGGAGTGACAGGCTGGAGCAGGCATCATGTTGGAGCTGGCAGGGCAAGGGGCGGGGGGCGATACGGCACAATATTGTACGACGAGCGTGTTGCGGGGTGCACGCTCCTCCACTCCCGGGACACAGACATACAATATCAGGCACCCAGGCCTTCACCACGCTCTCCTCCGCACTCACTTGAGCTTCAGGTAGTCGCCAGCATCGTAGTAGCCGCCCACCACAGGGTCATTCACTGCAGACAAAACGGGTAGGGGGGAGAGATGAAGCTGATGTGGACAACCTTGCGAGCCAGGCTGCCTTGAACCCACTTGGGGGCTGTGATGCACTTTCTGCGCTCCAGGGCGGTCCAACACCCAATCCCAGTTACGCACGGTGGGAGTTGCCCCTCCAGGGCACAGGGTTGTCGGCTGGCAGGCGCCCGCTACGCTGTGCATCGTAGAAGAAGAACGAGTTCTCCAGGACCTGCAAGGGAACAGCTTTTGTGGCCACCTGTGAGCGAAGTTGCTCTGATGCCAGGGGGTAAAGGCTAGAGCAGAGATCTGTAGCTCTGTGAGCAGCAATCCTCACAATCATGTACCTTGGCGTAAGTCGCCTTGTCCCCGGAGGGAGGAGAGGAGCTCGTCGTTGGGCTGGGGCTTGTAGCTGGGCTAGTACGGGGACTTGGGCTCGTGGCAGGGCTCGGGCTTGTAGCAGGGCTTGGGCTCGCAGCTGGACTGGGGCTCATGCCTGGGCTGCTACGCGGGCTTGGGCTCGAAACCGGGCTCGGGCTTGTAGCAGGGCTTGGGCTCGCAGCTGGACTGGGGCTCATGCCTGGGCTGCTGCGCGGGCTTGGGCTCGAAACCGGGCTTGGGCTGGCGACTGGGCTTGGGCTTGGACTTGGACTTGGGCTCGGACTTGGGCTCGGACTAGGGCTGGGGCTGGGACTGGTAGACGTTGTTGGGGTGGGGACAGGACCGGGGCTAGGGCTCGGTGAAGGGCTGCTGACAGCGTTGAGGGAGAACTGGCCGTCCAGTTCCTGCTCGGCGAGGTTGGAAAGCGTGTAGGCCAGCGTCTCTCCGTCGGTGGCTTGCAGGATGAGGGCATTCTGCCCCGCACTCGTGATGTTGAGGGGAAGGCCCTGTGCATGTGCAGACAGGTCAGTGAGGACACATGTGGTCAGGAGGTCACAGCGCTGAGCGCATGCACCTGAGATACAGGTACAGCAACCTCATGCCCAGATGAGCAATTCCGGTGCTTATACTGTTGCATGGCATCGCCAGCACTGCAAGCCGGGCCTCCTTCCATCCCACATGCACAATCCACTGCTAGTCTTCCCCCACCTGGGCGCTCCACACCCAAGGCCCCCAAGGCTGAAGGTTCATGGGCAGCCCATTCAAGGACACTGCTGCCAGGGGCTTGCGTGAGTTGGAGAAGGTGAGGGACTGCCACCAGATGTTGGTGGGATCGGACGATGTGAGGACCGGGTTCCCCTGGATGAGGGAGCCGCAGCTCACAAACTCCCAGGAGGCCTGAGATGAGAAAAGGTGAGAATGGTGAGAAGTTTGATATAGAGATGTGGCACAAGTCCTCAAGGTGTAGGAACAAAGTCCTGTCGTGATACATCATGCTGTGTACAACTCATGCAATGGAGCCAGAAGGGAACACAGCTCAAATGTGCACTGAAGCTATCATGGCAAGCCCATGTTCACTCACGGATATCGATCCACTGGACATCCCAGCGATGGTCTTGAAGGCTGGGGAGGACAGCTTCAGGCCGGATGCTGCAGCAGGTCACGGGAATGAGGACGAGAAGATGTGCAAGTTTCTGTCTGGCATGAGAATCACAGAACATGGCCCCTTTATCGTCCTTCTGATGACTAGCAGCCTAAGATGAACACTCACATGTGGAGCAGGAGTAGCACTGGTCCACGACGAGAGCAGTGACAGCTGGCAAGCCCGAACAGCTGTCGTCTGTGCACTTCACGGAGACGCAGCGTCCGCAGGATGCGCTGCCATCAAAGGTGGCGGCCGGCAGGGAGGCATAGTTTTGTGCAAAGTAGGAGTTCACGCGGTTGTACTGTGGACGTGGGGGTGGGTCAGGGTTTGCGCGGATCTGTGGCATGAAGTTGCCTGAAGGTGCTTGCGATCCCTCTCGACACAGGACTTTTGAATTCGAACGCAGCAAGCAGCTTGCACCCTTCCTGCGGCACAATGCACATCTCCGAGGGTCCTACCTGGCAGTTGAACCCACGGAGCGGTTGGCCAGACTGGGCAATGGCCCCTGAGCCGGACTCGACCTTGCCGTTGAATGCAAATGCTGTCGCAGCGAGGAGCAGCAACGCTATGAGAAGCCGCATTGTGCTTGTCTGTCTGCAGAGGGGGGAAATGGTCGTCATGGGATCCGGTCGCGGCTGGCCCCCTCGATGTAATGACCGGGCCTCGGCGTCGAGCTACATTCCGATCGCAGCGCGTGCGACCCCCTCCTGCCTGCCTCGATACCCCCGCAAATACCGGATGCGATGTTCAGAGAGGTGTCTGTGGTCTGGTCGCCCTGATCGGGTGGACGTGCCTGTTGCCGGGATTGTTTGCTCCCGTCGCCGACTTGGTTGGTATGGTTCGTCAATGAGTCTGTGAGAATCGCATGGGGCGGTGGAGTGCTCGTCGTGTGAGATTTGCGATGCGGACGCTGCTTAATGGACCAGCTGCTGGTCCAAAATTTTGTACATGCGCGATCGCAGTCCCAAACCCGTGGGTTCGGCCCAGGCCGGGACAGCTGTTCCAGCGCCCGACTCGCGCGACCCGGACATGGACGCTCGACGGCCCCCGGGGAGTGATCGCACCGCCCATGAGCTTGCGCGCCCTGAAATCAGGCTTCATTACATGTCTTTGGACCGCGTGACCAGCCGCCGGTCTCGCGTGCCACTGAATGAACCCCTGCGCCTCTCCCGGGACCTAGGTACTCCTGCCCGGCGGCTGCCTGGACCCCTGGCTCGGATGCACGGCCCCGGCTCTCCTTTACACAAAGATGGGGACGGGAGGGCGTAATGCACATGGAGAGACACTAGAAAAACACGGTGTATGGGGGTCGGATCGCGGCGCGGCTCACGTTTGAGCACGCCGTTGTTACCCCTCCATTTTGTTTGGGCTTGGTTTTGGGTCGGGGGGCACCGAGCGGGCGCCCCGACGCAGAGCCGGCGCGGCGCGCCCCACGTCAGGGTCCAGGGTTATGCTCCGCACGCAGGGGAGGGGTGTGCTGCGGGGACCCACTCCCCACGGTCCCCCCTCCCCACACACGACGCTCCGGGCTTCAGGACCCCGCCTCGGCGGCGCCCGCGCTGGCCGCCGCGGCGTCGGCGTTGCGGGCGATGTGCTCCGCCAGCGCGGCGTGCAGGCGCGGGGCCATGCGCTGCATGGCCACCGCGTACCCGGCGCGCGACCCGCCGGGCGCGGCCACCAGCGCGGCGTGGTGTGCGAGGCAGAACAGGACGCAGCGCTTGGCCAGGTCGGGCGCGTTGAAGCCCTCGGCCAGCTCGAAGGCGGCCGACACGTTGTCCGGGGTCAGGCCCTCCGCGATGGCGGCCTCGCACAAGCGCTTCAGCGTGTCCAACATGTACTGGTCGGACACGGCCAGCAGCTCCTGCGCGGCCTCCGGCGGCACCGCCACCGAGCCGCAGTAGATGCAGCGCATGGTGGCCTCCCACACCTCCCACCGGATGTTGGGGATGGGGATGACCGAGGCGTCGGTCTCGCGGTAGTGCCCGTCGAACATGGAGCGGAAGATGTCGGAGCAGGCCTGCAGCGCGATGCGGTGCGCGTAGAAGGGCCGGCCCTCCACCTGGAAGGTCACGTCCGACTCCACGCGGCTGTTCACGTACTGGGGGCCCAGGTAAACGCGCTGTAGGGGGTGGGTTGTTGCGGGGGGGTGGGAGGGGGGGGTGGGGTGGGGGGTGGGGGGGGGAGGGGAGGAGTGGAGCAGGTGCCAGGAGGTGAGGAGCTGGCACATTGTGCACCGACCGAGGGTGAGAGTGCAGCCGGCCAGAGTGGGCACGGCATCTCCCTGCAGGCCGGCATCTGGGTGACCCGGGAGCCCAGGCGTGTGGTTAATCCCCCCCCCTCCAAAAAACTCACAGCCCACCCACCTGCGGCTCCGGCGGCTCGGGGTCCAGGGGCAGGGGCGAGGTGGCACCACAAGCCTCGGCCACGCGCATGAGGGACGCGGCGGCCTGCGCCTGCAGGTCCCCCGGCGTGTGCGGGTCGGTGAGCGCGTCCACCAGCACATGCACGGTGCGCTTCTCCAGGAACATGACGCGGTTGGCGGCGGGGGAGGGGCTGTCGGGCGTGGTCAGCGCGGCGAGCGCGACGGCGATGCGTGCGCGCGCCGCGCCGCCTGCGCCCTGCATGTTGTACAGGATCTGGGCCAGCACGCGGCCGCGCAGACGCTCCTGCAGCCGCTTGAGCGTCTTGGCCACGCAGTCGCGGCTGGGCTGCACGATCATGTCGCAGGCCAGGATGCGCTGGACCACGCCCTCCCGCACGAACTCGATCAGGTTGTCGTCGTTGTCGGACAGGCCGTACAGCGCAAAGGCGGCGTTGTGCTGCAGGTTGCCCAGCCGCGACTCCAGCAGGTCCATGAGCGGGAGCAGGCCCCCCGACGCGATGATCCCCGCCTGGTTGTCCGCGTTCTGGGCCAGGCGACCCAGTGCGAAGGCCGCCATCTCGCGCAGCTGCGTGTCGGCGTGGGCCAGCATCTCGATCAGCGGCGCCACCGCGCCGCGCTGCACGATGGCGAACTTGTACTCGCCCTCCGTCGCGAACTGGCCCAGGAGCAGGGCTGCCTCGCGCTGCGAGTCGGGGCAGGGGCTGGACAGCAGGTTGATGATGGGCTGCAGCGCGCCCGCCTCCAGCACCGCGCGCTTGATGGGCGCGGAGGAGTGCACCAGGTTGCCCACCACGCCCACCGCCTCGTAGTGCAGCGTGGTGTCCTCCGCGTGCAGCATCTGGACCAGCAGCGGCAGCGCGCCCAGCGCCACGATCAGCGCCTTGTTCTCCTCGTTCTTGAACGCCAGCGTGCGCAGGCTGCCCGCCACCGCGCGCTGCACCTTGGGGTCCACCGACGACAGCAGGGCCACCAGGTGGGGCACGCCGCCCTCGCCGCGCACTCGGTCCTTGATCGCGTTGTTCTCATGGGCCAGGTTGGTGATGGCGTCGGCCGCGCGCCGCGCCGCCGCCGCCGCGGAGCCGGAGAGGTGCGGGTCGCCGCGCGCCGCGTAGCGCGCCACCAGCGCCACCAGCGTGCGCAGCGCGCCGGCCTTGCAGATGGCCTGCTGGTGCGCCACCTTGATGGCCAGCAGGCCCAGCAGGAAGCAGATGTCGCGCTCCAGCTCCTCCACCTCGCTGCGTGGGGGTGATGCGGGGGGGGTGAGAAGGAGAGAATGAAGGTTTTGGGGGGGAGCAGACAATGAGAGCATGGTGACGCTTCACAGGCAGGGGCCTGCCGGCTCGTGCGCGATATCATGTCGAGCCAGGAGCCCTGGTCGTATGGCGTGTGTCCCCAGCACAACACGACTGGCCATGGCAGTGTGAGGCAGGACAGGAGGAATCGCAGATCCAGTGCAGCGTTAGAGGAGGTGACAGCCCCGCAAGTCCCAGTCCCCAGCTGGCAAAGCTCCCAGCATAAGAGTCCGGATTCATTCGCTTCTCCCATACCCCCAACCATTTGAAGTGGCGCGCAGACTCACACAGGGGGGTTGACCGAGGAGGGGTCATCGGAGCCACACGCCTGCTTCAGCAGGGGGACCACGGCGCCCACAGTCCCTTCCCTGGCCGCCGCGTCCAGGTTCTCCTCTGCAAGGGGCGACAGAGGTGCTTCGTCACCCCGAGCAGGAGGGCAGGCATGCAGGGTGCCTGGCGACTGCAGGAAGGGGCCCGGGCCCTGGCGCAACGTCACCTCCTCCCGGGCGAGGTCCCAGTACTCACCGTTCTTGCATATCTCGAGCAGGGCCCGGACCGTGGTCTTCACGCTCTGCAGCTCCTTCAGGGGATCAGCTTCGGCGAGCAGCGCCTTCAGCAGCAGGCGTATCTGGGGGCAAGGGGGCCGCTTCGTGAGCCAATGAAGACTCATGACGGGTCGTGCGCGGCGAGATGAGGGCGCCGTCCTGGCTCACCTTGTGGCTGACGTCCGTCGTGGTCGCCGAGCCCATCGTCAAAACATTCAGGGAGGTCGAGGCAACCTCGGCCAGCCTCCGCTTCCTACTGGAGTCTGACATAAGCTCAGGGAGGCGTTCCTGGGCTGTCACCTAGCTCCCTGCCTTCTGGGACTCATCCAGCTGAGGCAGGAGGCGGGCAGGTTTGAAACCCGGACGACCAGACCGGTTTTGCGGGGCCCCTGACGAGCGAGAAGATTCAGACGCAGGCTAAGAGGTGCGCGAGGCGTAGGGTGAGTGTCAGCTGTCCCCAGCTACATGCATACTCGAACCAAAGCAGGATCACCGACATGGGGCGAAACGCCTTGAACCGAGCGGGAAAGGGTGAAACAGGGTGAAGCAAGACATGTATAGCATCTACCATCATCTTGCAATGTGGCAACACATGCACGCTAAGCCTCGCTCAACTATGTATATCTTGCATTAAAAGTGCAGGTGAGGGACTCGTAGCTGACGGGGGCGTGTGGATGCGTATGAAACCTCGTTGTTGTCGTGGACCTGGGTCCCGGGTTGACAATCCGCATGTCCAGCCACGGTGATCTCTGGGTTCTCTTGCTCAGCTTCAGGTCCTTGTACACATCATTTGCAACAGGATTTGGAACCGCGAACTCTTGCGAGAATGGGTTCCGGCGAGATTTCGAGCCAGCGTGGCACCGGGAAATACTCTTGAGGAGGTCACACCCGCCCACGATGAGTGGATCTCGAGCGCGAGAGGGCGGCAGTCGTGACAGGGATTATGATCGTGGCGGTGACCGCTATCGAGACGGCGAGCGGCACCGGGGGAGCGGTCGAGAACGTGAGCGCGAGGGGGTCCGCGACCGAGACCGCGGCGGGGACAGGCCACACCACCGCGGTCCGGCGGAGTCGCCCACCGGCGGGTACGATGGTGGTTACAGCAGCCGCGACGGCGGCGGGCACGGCGGCGGCCGAGAAAGCTACGGCGATCGCGATGGCGGTGGCTACAGCGGTGGCCGCGGCGGCTACGGCAGCCGCGAGGGCGGTGGCCGCGGCGGCTACGGCAGCCGCGAGGGCGGTGGCCGCGGCGGCT